GCGCAAACCCGCGCATTCTGCAGCACCCCGCGACCAAGCAGACCCTTCCGCGCGCCGGCTAGCAGCGAGGCCACGCCGACGAGGCAGGGCAGCCCGGCGAGCAGCGAGGCCGTCCTCCACGCCGCAGCAGTGGTCCACCGCCGATCCGAGAAACTCCAACTCCTCCTCCTCCTCCTCCTCCTCCTCCTCCTCCTCCTCCTCCTCCTCCTCCTCCTCCTCCTCCTCCTCCTCCTATTCCTCCTCCTCCTCCTCCTCCTCCTCCTCCTCCTCCTCCTCCTCCTCCGCCTCCTCCGCCTCCTCCTCCTCTTCCTCCTCCACCGAGGCATCACCGCAAAGCCCCGGAACCGCGGCAGAATCAGGCGGCAGAGCCGGCTCCAAAGGGAACGCCTGGCCCACCGAAGGCCGGCCACGGCAGTAGTCGCGCGGCTGACAGGCAACGAGGCTGCCAGCGGTAGACGCCCCGCCCACCGCGGCCGCACAAGCGGGGCTCGAGTCGCCACGACGGGCGCAGGTCAGGTCAGGTCACGCCCGTGCGCCGGAAGGCGAGCCCATGAGGGGCGCAGGCGGTGGCAATCGGCAGCGTGCAATGCACGCGCGCGCCACATGTAAGGAAAGCAGCACGTGCGTCGAAAGCACGACACAGCACGGGGGCCCACCGGGGAACCGGCGCAGACACCCCCCAGGGCGGCAGCGGCGGGCGCCCTGGAGAGAGGCGTCGGGGCGCGGGCTCTCTCTCTTCGAGGGGGGGGAGGCTCTCCTGAAGTGGCCACTGACGCCCGCATCACCTCAAGATGGCAGCAGCGATGACAAGGACATCGCTGCGCTGACGAGGGGGGGGCTCCTGAAGTGGCCACTGACGCCCGCATCACCTCAAGATGGCAGCAGCGATGGCAAGGACATCGATCGCTGCGCTGACGAACGAGCAACAGGTCGACTCCACGGCGAGGACTTGCTGCGCCTCACCCATTGGAAATCCAGAGCGTACGACAGGAAATCCAAGGCAAGGAAATCCAAAGCATATGAGGCACGACGCGCTCCGCAGGGTGGCTCATCTTCGACACGCCGGACAGGCATCAGACGCACGACGGCTCGTGCCTGCCGCGCGGAGTCGCAACCCAGGGCTGCAAAGCCAGCTCAGACTCCCAGATGAAAGGGCCGGGCCCTTGTCCAACGTCAGCGGGAAGCTCCGCTGAGCTCACGACAAAACGACAAGCACCCCGCCGGCGGCCGCAGGGTGCTGACCGATGTCGGCGAGGGCAGCCCGAGCCTGTGGCCAAATCACCTTGAGGACCACATGGCCTGTCCCTCACCGACCGTCAAAGCAACAGGGCGGCTGGGGGCCCGAAGAAGGTTACCCCCCAAGACGGCCTAGCAGGACGATGGGCATGCACCGAAGCCCGCTACGACTGTAACGCCTGCCCCTTCTGTGCCCAGAGCACCTCTAATGCCCACCATGCCAGGCGCCAGCATGGCCTGCTCTGCCCATGGCACAGACACGGACGTAGCATGAGGTGATCCACAAAGAAAGAGGAAGACACGCTGCAAACAACCGGGTTTGTTCCCTCGCCTCCGCCAGCGGGAGTAACGCTCGCGGCTTCTTCCATCGCGACATCGAAGTTGTTCTTGACGAGCGCGGCCCGAGCAACCCTTTGCAAACAACCCCCCTAGCACGGCTTCAGACCGGGGGCTTGGGACAGCTGCGTAAAAGCAAAGGGCCGCTTCTCCCAACGCCGCCACCCAACAGGGATGCCCACAAGGAGCAGGGCCACCGTGGGGCGACGGCGGTGCCGCCAGACAGCGCCAACGCCCCGAGGGCACCAGGCCCGAGTCCACTCGCAGGCAACCAAGCCAATGCCAGGGCCGCCACGCTCAGGGACGAACCCGCCTTCGAACCAGAGCTCTGGGCGCCCGAAATGGGCACGGAAAGAATGGGTACAATGCCCAACAGCGGTTCCTGTTCATTCTGAACAGGAGCCGCTGTCCAAGCCGCCGCGGCCCGTGTCCATTCGGGACAGGAGGCCGCCTGCCCAACAGCGGCCGCTGTTGGTTTGGGACAGCATTTGTTGTTGGGCATTGTACTCCAGATTTCGTAATATAAAAGGGAGGGGGTCTGGACCCTCCAAGACAAGCCATTTCAGACCTCCCCCGTGGGAGAACCCTCCAAAGCATCGTCCCCAGACCCCCCCAGGCCCTCCAAGACAGCCTGGAAGAGACATCCCCCCGAAACGAGACCCCCCCTCCCTTTCTTACGACATCTGGAGTACCCATTTCGGGCGTCCAGAAGAGCGGCCATTCTTCGAAGCGGGAGGATGGGCCATCCCAAGGGCTCCCCCGAGGGCGCGAAGTTATTCGCGCTTCGCGCTTCGCGGTCCTCGTTCCTTCTCCCCCTCCTCCTCGTCCTCCTATTCTCCCTTTGGGAGAGCGGCGCGAGAGCGCGAAGTTATTCGCGCGTCGCGCTTCGCGCAGCGCGAGAGCGCGAAGTTGGGAGCCCTAGCATCCTCTCATTACCCCGACCGCGGCTTCCTGCGCCACGCTGCGCCCCTCGATCCTCGCCATGCCGTGCGGCGCTGCCTCGGAGGCGCGCTCTCTCCGGCCCCGCCGAGGCACGGAGGAGACCCGTGCCAGCGCAACGAGCCACGGGGCTCCTCGCCAGACGTATCCACAAGACCAGAGCCAGATTGGTCGACGCCGACCTCCTCTGGCGTGGAACCCCGCTGCACCCCCCACTCTCTCGTCGTCGACTTCCTGTCAGAACCCAGCGACGGCAAAATGACCTCCCTGCCCCACGGCCGAGCGGCCAAGGACGTTCGCCGCCCGCTGGCCGCGGGCCAGCGTGGTCTGCTTCAGACACGACGGGCCCCGGCGGCCCAGCTTCGCCGCCCCCGCCTCCCGGTCCGCGACCCGCAGACTCAGAGCCGAGTCGCGATCCAGAAGCCCACCTCTGGGATCCGCGAAGGGCCAAGAGGGGGCTCCACCAGAGCCTCCTGTGCTCGAGCCCTCGCGCCCTGGACGCTCGTCACCAGGCGGGGCAGGCGCGGCAAAGGAACGTGCTCAGCTCATTCCCAGACAGCCGAGCCGCAATGCCACCAGGCGTGGACGGCACCGCGAGCGGAGCAGGAAGCACCAAAGCTGACAGCGAGCAGCAGGCACAGCCACGACCGCCGAGGAAAGCGAAAGAAGACAAGGACGAGTTCGACTAGCTCGACAGCGAGCTGTCACCACCTAGGCAAAGGCCACAAGCACCTGGACGACACGAAGCCCAGGGATGGGGGGCGCCGTCTGACTCGCCGTCGCGGTCGCCGAGAAGGGTCACTCCACCCAGGCCGCCATCGCTCAGTGAGGTCACTACAAGTAGGCCCAGGTGACGACGACAAGCCAAGGCATACCCCACAGCGGCACCAGCTAGCGCGAGACCCAGACCAGCGCCGACGGGTACCAGATACAGAGCACTGCTGAACACAGCCAGCCCAGAATGCGTTGCTGAGCAGGTGAAGATCCATGGCCCCAAGGAAGGCCCCACCTGGAGCACCGCCACAGAGTGTGTCCCCAAAGCTCGAGTCCCACGGGCCCGACAAGCAGAAAGGAGCCCGTGCGCGCGACCTTCCACGGCTCGGATCTCCCAGCGAGATGGGGCCAGTAAACCTCGGGAGCGCCGCGTGCCAGACCAAACGCGCCCGGGGAAAGCCTGGGCATCCCGCTCGGTGAGGCTCCGAGCTTCGCTGCGCGAGCAGGCGGCGCCGGGTTCGCCGCGCAAGGGGATGGCAGCCCGAGCGCCAGCTCCGTGGCGGTGACAAGAGCGCATGTCTCGGGGACCTGTGTGCCTAGCACGCCAGCAGGGCCGCTTGCCACAGTGGATCTTGGGGCCCCAGGCGCGGCACCATCCAACCCCCCACCTGTACCCGAATCCAGTGAGGCTAAGGCGCCAGCGCGCAGGCTGTTAGGCCACCCAGCCAGTTTGGCGGTCCACCAGGACCCCAGCCACCGAATCAGGAACTGGACAGCCAAAGCATAAGCCAAGGCCCTCAGGAGGTCAGTCGAGACGACTCGGAGGTGGACTCCGAGCAGCGCCGACGACGACGCCCCCCCTGTTATGCCGCAGTCCGCCGCCGCCGCGTCGTCCCTCCCTCGATCCTTCCCCCGGCGGCCGCTGGTTGTGTCGAGGTTGTTTTGGCGGGATATAGATTACACCACATAGCTTGCACGACATAGTTGACACCACATAGCTTACACCGCATAGCCTTCACCTGCAGCTCACACCACACGTATTCTACGATATATTTCTCACCACATATACGTGTATACCTATATTATACACGTCATGGATTACACCACATAGCTTGCACCTCATAGCTTACACCGCCACAGTGCAACATGCCACGGCTTTGGACCCACGCATACGCCGTTTGTTTGTTGGGGCTCGCTAGCGTGAACCAGATAGCGTCGAGGATTCTTGCTGACACCATGCACGTAGGCATCCGCGAAGGTATGTTTATTCGGGCGTTTGGCTTCAAACGTGGATCCGCCTGAAAAGGGAAGTGCGTTTTGACTGCAGTGTAAACACCCGAATGCACGTGGAGGTAAGGCCCCCAAGAGGCATGCACAGGCACTCCTGCCAGGGGTGCCTCGTGGAGAATCTGTGTCCCATCATGCCACCGAGGAGTGACGGGCGCGATGTGCTTATGGGATGCCAACCTCCAGCTTTTGCAGACTCTCGGGCGGGGGGACAGGGGTGTCAGAGACTGACGTCCTCGGGCGTCGGGAGGGGGGGGGAGAACGGAGGGCAAGGGGAGGAGGAGGGAAGAGAAGGAGAAGGGGGAGGGGAGCGGGAGGACCCGTGCGCCTCGGCGGGGCCGCCCACGGCCTGAAGAAACGATGCCTCGGAACGCTCCCTCCTGAGAGCCTGCACCCGCGGACTCCGCGCCCGACGGCGGAGCGGTGCCCGCCGCTCCGCCGGCGCGCCCCGAGCGCAGCAAACCCAGGGGGCCCGTCGCTCCCGCCAGGTCGAGCAGATGCAGCCGAGGGGCGAGGAGAGCGCCTGGGTCGGCTTCGAGCCGGTGATCGGGAGCGGCAGGGGTCGGGAGGCACGGAGGGCAGTGCAGGAGGAGTGCGCAGGAAGAGGAGGAGGAGGAAGAGGAGGAGGAGGAGGACGACGAGGAGGAGGAGTGCGTAGGAGGAGGAGGAGGAAGAAGAAGAAGAAGAGGAGGAGGAGGAGGAGGCGGAGGAGGAGGCGGAGAGCGTAGGAGGAGAAGGAGGTGAGGAGAAGGAGGAGGGAGGAGGAGGAGGAGGAGGAGGAGGAGGAAGAGGAGGAGGAGGAGGACGAGTGTAAACCCAAGAGTCATCAACGATGTTGGAGTAAACCCTCCATCCAAGCTCCCTCTTCACAGGCCCCTGCAACGGTTCATTGCCATTGATGAAACTGCCTCGTTGGAAGCCACCCGTTTGAAGACCCTGAAGCATGCCAAAGCATTGTTCTCGGGATTCCAACGCCACGGATCAGCCTGACTGTTGCGTCTTGACTATCCTGAAACGTGCCAGACCGCCATTCCTATGACTTCAGCACAGAATCAAGGCAACTGTTGCACCCGCATAGTCCTGAATCTTTCCAGAACACCATGTCTTGTACGTTGCTGATGGGAATCCGTGGAACTCTTGCAAACTTTTAAAACGAATGTGCGCGGCGCTCAGGCGAGAGCCACATTTTGAAAACGACCGCCCTCAATCCGCGAAACCCTTGCAGTTGCTTTAGCCGAGTGTGCGCAGCGCTGAGGCGAGGGCCCCAGTTTGAAAAGGAACCGCCCTCAATCTGTGAAGCTCTTGCAAATATTTGAAATGAATGTGAGCCGCGCTAAGGCGAGAGCCACATATCGAAAACGGCCCGCCATCAATCCGTGAAGTTCTTGCAATTTGTTCAACGAATGTGCGCCGCGCTAAGGCGAGAGCTACATTTTGAAAACTACCCGCCCTCAATCCGGGAAGCTCTTCCAAAGTTTACAACGAATGTGCGCCGCGCTAAGGCGAGAGCCACACTTTGAAAACCACCCGCCCTCAATCCGTGAAGCTCTTGCACATGTTTAAAACAAGTTTGCGCCGCGCTAAGGCGAGAGCCACGTTCCAAAAACGACCCGCCCTCAATCCGTGAATCGCTTGCATTTATCCCAACCATCCTGTGGTGTTGGGTCCTCGTTTTGAAGAGACGGTCCCCGCGTTCTCCTCTCGTGCCCCCCCCTCCTCCCTACCGCCCGCATGCGTCCCGCACACCCAGTACAGCGTTTCGTGGCCCCATAGGGAGCCCCACCGAAGGTCCCAGTGCTGCCGTCCGCATGCGTCCCGCACACCCAGTGCAGCGTTTCGTGGCCTTCCTCCCCCTCCTCCCTGCGTTTCACCCACCCAGTACAGCGCTTCGTGGCCCCATGGGGGGCTCCACCGAAGGCCCCAGTGCCCACGTCCGCATGCGTCCGTAAGCCCAATTTGGCATTTTCACCCACCCAGGGCAGCGCTTCGTGGCCCCATAGGGGCCATAGGGGGCTCCACCCAAGGCCCCAGTGCCACTGTCCGTATGCGTCCGGGAAATGTAATTTGGCATTTTCACCCGCGCAGTGCAGGGGTTCGTGGCCCCATAGGGGGCTCCACCGAAGCCCCCAGTGGGACCGTCCGCATGCGTCCCGGTAACCCAATTTGGCATTTTCACTCGGTAGAGCGCTTCGTGGCCCCATAGGGAGCTCCACCGAAGCCCTCAGTGGGACCGTCCGCATGCGTCCCGGAAACCCAATTCGGCACACCACCCACACAGTACAGCGTTCCCCCCCGCCCAGTGCAGTGCTTCGATAGGGAGCTTCACCGAAGCAGATATTCACAATTACGGTACCCACAGTTGCATATGGTTGGGACCTTCGCCAGGATAATGTTAACGAATGTGCGCGAGGGCCACATTCTGAAAAGGAACCGCCCTCTATCTGTGAAACTGTTCTCAATGTTCAAGCTTCAGAGTCATAAGTGGTGAGGAAGTCTCAGGCGAAACGCCTGGCCCGCCCTATAAACTGGCCTCGGGGTGCGACATGGAGAAATTCCCCAATCAGAGCTTGCCTCTGTAAGGGTCCAGTGGATTCTAAAGGCTTAGGATTTGTTCGGCAGGATTTCGGTGGCCGGTGGCCGGGTGCCCTGGTGCCCGTGGGTGCCGGGTGCCCCAGGATTTCGGTGGCTGGTGGCCGGGTGCCCAGGTGCCCAGGTGCCCGTGGGTGCCCGGGTGCTCAGGGGTGCCCGGAAGTGCCCGCAGGTGCCCCCCGGGTACCCTATAGCCAAAAGCCCTATAGTTTTATAGCTCTATAGCCCAATAGCCCAATAGCCCACATAACCCACATAGTCTTATGGCCCAATAGCCCTATCGCCCTATAGCCCTATAGCCCTATAGCCCTATGGCTCTATGGCCTCATAGCCCTAGAGCCCTAGAGCCCTATAGCTCTAGAGTCCTAGAGCCCTATAGCCCTAAAGCTCGATAGCCCTACTGCCCTACTGCCCTATAGCCCTATAACCATAGCCCAATAGCCCTATAGCACTATACCCCTAATAGCCATATAGCCCTATAGCCCCATAGCCTTGTAGCCCTATAGTCCTGTAGCCCCATAGCCCCAACAAAAATCGGATTGGGGGTTTTCTCCTGTATCATTATTTGTTAGGAAAAGGAATGGAGGAGGAGGAGGAGCAGGAGGATGTGGAGGAGGATGAGAAGGAGGAGGAGGAGGAGGGGTTCGTAGGAGGGGGGGGGAGCAGGAGGGGGGAGGAGGAGGAGAGGAGGAGGAGGAGGAGGAGGAGGGCGTAGGAGGAGGAATCGGAGGAGGAGGAGGAGGAGGAGGAAGAGGGGAAGGAGGAGGAGGAGGAGGAGGAGGAGGGGGGGGAGGAGGAGCAGGTGGAAGAAGATTGTGTAGCAGGTGGAGGTATCAGCGTATGAGTCCGAGATGGGGAGTCATCCAGCAGTTTCGGGCGAGACGGGAGACCTTCCTGGACGTCCCTTGTGGAGATCCCGGGGCCGCTCAAAAGTCGGCCGCCGCGCCTCAAGCTCACCCGGCTGGTGGCAGGGTTGCCCTCGCTCGCGAGCTCGGGCTCAAGGAAGAATAGTTCGTTAATCGGCAAACTTGCACTAGTGGCAGTAGTACCGGTTATTGCGGCCACATAGATATACCCACTTGAATGATTGAAATCGCGAGAAGCCAACTGGAGAGGACCGCTTGATTGACAGCGAATCGGCCCAATAAGAAGGACAAGTCGGCAATGCAACCCCCGACACACTCGACGTTGTCATGTATGGCTTTGTTTCGGCTTCCTTTAAATTACCAAAGACAGCCGCAAGACGGCCCAAGAAGGCCCCACCAACAAGCCTCCAATACTATTGCTTCAGAGTGCCCCAGGGGGGCACCAAGACGGCCCAGTCGCCCCGAGACGTCCCCCAGGCGGCCCAATTCTGAACAGCGCCATGTCAAGGGGGACGCGCTCAGAATATAGTTTCTGCCGTGGTCGGACATGTTTGTTGCCCCTAAGTCTCATGCGCACCGCAGTAGACAAGGTTCAACATCGACCAGGGTTTCCCGAATCGCAAACCAGAAAGCATAGTGACACCGAGGAGTGCGTATGGAACAAGACGCGAGGGAGTACACGAAACGACGCGAGGGATACATCCATATGATATTCGTCTCATGATGTGGAGAAATACTTAGGTCGCGAGTTCAGCTGCCATGGCGAACTAACATGAAACAATGTTTACTAAGGATCGGACACTTCGCGATCGGATATGAAAAAATGGTGCGATTCGATCCTACATCGTGCTGTGATGCAATATGGAAATGCAACGTCGGTTGTAAACTGGATGGGAGCAACAACGTTTGATAGCGAATGGGGAACGTGAACGAAAGCGGCGTGAAGCATGTTGCTGAAGAGTGTGGGGCACTTGGCGTTTGGTCGTATGGGCATCTGGGTTGTATGGCAAATTCTGGCCAGGTTCTGACCGCGATCGACAGTATGCTCCAGATGCTCCAGGAGGAGGAGGCAGCCCGATGCATGTGGTCATCAGTGATTGTCGGGGGCGGACAGAACCCCCAACAGTGACATGTCGATTAGTGAATTGTCCGTTTTCGGTTCTCGAGATGGCGCCGCGGCCGTTATTTTCCAGGCTTGCGCCCGCCAGGTTTGGGCCTCAGGTCGTTTTCACTAAACCTCGTTTTACTAAAGGGAGGTCTGTCCATCCCCGAGATTGTCTGTGTCCTGGCATGAGCTTTCCGTTGCGTGTTGTGCGCTTGGCGCTGCGTGCTTCGAGACCGAATCGCGCAGCGTGGTGCCGTCGGCCCTTGCCACGTCCAGGCTTTACGATTTCGGTGTTGATTCAGGCGTCTTCCCAAGAAGTGCCAGACTCCTCACCATGCCAAGGTTGACTGGGCATCCCTGACCCAACAAAGCGCCGTTGGCTGCGCGATGTCCACTGCATGTGGAGTGAGCCAAGACGACGCAGATGTGGCGCGTCGCGAAGGGCGGGCAGACGCGCCGTCGTCTTTGATCTCGCTCTCTGGCCTCCAGTGCGTCGGTGGGTTTCTGCAGTCGGCTGCTTCTCCTGCTTCTGACGCGCCTCGTCCTCCGCCTCCTCCTCCGCCTCCCCCTCCCTCCATCTCTTCGGTCCTCCCTCCTCATCTTCCTCCTCCCCCTCCTCCTCCTCCTCCTCCTCCTCCTCTTCCTCCTCCTCCTCCTCCTTCCTTTCACCTTGTGGACCCTCAGTTCACCCACTTCCTCTTCTGCCCAGTGTGCCCATTTTCGTCGTCGATAGCCCATTGTCCTACGAGCAGCGAGTGGCCTGCTTGTGCGAGCGCATCCGTGTCGAGCCGGGGGCTGCTCGGAGGGGTTTCTGATTGCTGGATTCCGGCGCTCGAGGCGGGGGGCTCCGATCCTCCCCCCGCAGAAACACAGCCCAGCTTGGACATCCCGCCTGCCCTCAGTGTACCAGGGCCCCATCTGGTGCACCGAGGGGCAGGGCCTGTGTCCCAGTGTCCGTCGTTTTTTTTTCGGGGATCGCCTGGGGCCTCCGCGGGCTGCAGGGAGCTCTCGCCCCTCCGTGCAGTGCTGATCTAGGTGCTTTCATGGCGGAGGCCCCCCTTGGGTTTTCAATTGTTCGAGCTCTGTTCAGCGGCAGTGGGAAAGTCCCCTCTTTTGCAGACAGGTGTCCTCAGTGCCTTCCTGTTATATCCAATCCTTCCTCGTCTGCAGCTCCTCCTCCTCCTCCTCCTCCACCTCCACCTCCACTTCCACCTTCTCGTCCTGGTGCTGCTTTTCATGCTCCTCGTCGTCGCCCTCCACCTCCGCCTCCTCCAGGGACCCGCTCGGCGGCTTGCCGGGTCCCGAAGACGGACAGCACATCGGCTGCGCCGCGAGCGTAGCCGCATGCCCGCGATAATATAGCATCCCCCATCACCCCTGAGTCATGATTACACATGGTTCATTTTCAATTATTCGGAAATTCCTTGATTTTGGGGGGGCCAAAATCCTTTCATTTCTAACTGTTCTATCCTGGGCCTTTTCCTAGCCTCTAGGGGGCCAGGAACAATTAGAGACGAGCACGATTAAAAAATGAACGACGTGTAGCGACGGGGTGCTTATGTCTGATCGGCGGGCGGAGCGGCGAGGCCGAACTGTATCATCACCAGGGAGTGTACGAATCGTGCACTGAATCATCTCATCACGACTATCCTGTGCCATCATGGATATCATCATCTGATGTACTTCCTATCTTGCTGGCATTCCTTCTCTTCTCTGTCTCCTCCTCCTTCTACTCCCCTGCCCCACCTTCCTCCCTCTGCGCCGCACCTGAGCTTGCTCATCGCCGTCACTGCTTGTCACCCACGGAGGACAACCATGAGTACCCTGCACGACGCGTAGAAGACCACCAATAATCTTTGAGTTCTACTAATAGAGTTCGATAGATCCGAAGCCTTGATTTTTCTTGAAATCTCCTCCTCCCTCGTCTCGTCGTCCTCCTCCTCCTCCTCTTTTCGTGTTCTCGTCATACTCACTGTCCTTATTGTCTACCGTTTTATTCCTCCTTTTACTCCTCCTTTTCCTCCTCCTCCTCCGCAGATCAGACTGGAAGCCATTCAAGAGCCATCCAGACATCCCAACACCGATGTCTCCGGGAGGAAATATTATCCTCCCAGGACCATGAACTTTATTATCCCCACGGTGTGATTACCGTGGAGGCCCATGCCAAGAAACACCCTGCTTGCCTCCAGGGTGCTCTGGGTTTCTTAGTGTTCGATGGTTTTGCGATGGGAAGCGCGACGCTCCCACACCAGAGATCAACGGACGTCCTGGGGTCTCACGGTTGGGTCTCTCGTGGAAGGTTTCATGTGGGCGAGCCCCCTGCTGCGTCATCGGCGCAGGGTTAGCCCCCAGCCCACCCTCCCGCGAGCATGCCGGCCCAGCCGCCACGAAGCGAGCCACCGCCCGCGGGGGCGTGGCGGCAAGCAGGCCGCGGCGGAGCGCCGCCCGGTCGATGCGCCGCCGCGCTGCTGCTGCCGAGCTGCCCTCGCGCCCTCCTCGCGGCTGCGCGGGCCGACCGCCCGCAGGGGAGGAAGCGGTACCGACACCGCTGCCCTGGGTTTCCGAATAAGCGTGTCGGAGGCGGAAAAGGGGGAGGGGGGGGAGGAGGAGGAGGAGGAGGAGGAGGAGGAGGAGGAGGAGGAGGAGGAGGAGGAGGGAGGAGGAGGAGGAGGAGGAGGAGGAGGAGGAGGAGGAGGAGGAGGAGGAGGAGGAGGAGGAGGAGGAGGAGGAGGGAGGAGGGGAGGAGGAGGAGGAGGAGGAGGAGGAGGAGGAGGAGGAGGAGGAGGGAGGAGGAGGCGGAGGAGGAGGAGGAGGAGGAGGAGGGGAGGAGGAGAGGAGGAGGAGGAGGAGGAGGAGGAGGAGGAGGAGGAGGAGGAGGAGGAGGAGGAGGAGGAGGAGGAGGAGGAGGAGGAGGAGGGAGGAGGAGGAGGAGGAGGAGGAGGAGGAGGGGAGAGGGGGGAGGAGGGGAGAGGAGGAGGAGGAGGAGGAGGAGGAGGAGGAGGAGGAAGAAGAGGAGGCCGCGGCGCCCGAGACCCGAGACGTCCTCCAGAGCTGCCCTGTCCCAGAGATCGGGGGCGGAAAAGAGAAGGGTGATGACTAGGGGGGGGTGGATCTCATGGCGTGGGCCATGATATTTCCCCAGATTTCATGGCGCGCCTCTTCTTGTTCCCTTACGTCCCTGGCCCCCCCCCCCCTCGAGCCGCGCACGTGCCGCCGGCCACGATTTGCACCCCCCCTCTTGGACGCCCCCCTCTTGGCCGCCCCCGAGCGTGGGGGGGGCCCCTCGACGGAGGTCAACCTCGCCTCGTCGTCGCGCCGCCACGGGGGTCGGAGCGCCTTCGGCGCGCGGGTGGCTGCCCTCTCGACGGGGGTCGATGCGGGGCTGTCGGTGGGGGTGACGCCCCCCCCCGACGCTTGTGAAGAAACTCGGAGTACCTTTGCCTCGCTTCCGCCTTGCTGGGCCTCCTGGGAGGCCCTCGCCGCCAACGGCCAGATTCGCTTCGAGATCATGCTCAGAACTCACCCCAGAGAAGGTCCGGGGAGTGGCGGCAGCGGTACTTGTTGGTTTCCCCACGCCCGCGTGGGAGGTTGGGGCTCTATTGCCAGTGCCCGATTTTGTTGGCAGTGGGCGTTGTCTTCCTGGCCGCGCGACCTCGGCTTGGCACCGCGGTTCCGCTCTCGTGGATCCCTCGTCCTACTCGAAGACGGTATGTCTGTTCAAGATATTGTCCGCATTCGTTCGGGTCTCTACGCGATTTCCCGCGCCGTCGGCACCTGCTGCGTGCAGACAAGGATTGCGCGCGACGCTCGTGCTTTGCTCTTTTGTGGCGATGCAGAGCTGACCAATAGGGGAACTACGGGCAAGCGCCTGCCTGCAATGCCTGCCTGTCTGGCTGCATCCAGTTAGATCGCTCGCTGCTCGACACGGGGGTCCTTGGGTGCGCCCTCGGTGAGGCATGCCCGCTGTTGTTGCCGCCGGCGCTGGCGAAGGAGGCCCCGCTGGATCTGGCAGCGTCTTCGCCGGGCCATCCATGCGTGGGCCTGCTTGGTCAAGGGCGGGCCCTGCTCTAGACTACTCATCGTATCTCATGACCGCTTAGCGACTCGGCTGTTCCGATGCGTTCTTTCCCCACGTCCTCGTCTTCCGCCTCCTCCTCCCCATTCCGCCCGATCTGGGCCAGTGCGTGTCTTGTCTGGCAACCGAGCGAGGGCACAGTCGCACCCCAACGCGCCTGGACTGAACATGCCACCCCCTGGGCCAACTACCAAGGGGGAGGAGCCTCCTCAACTGCCGGCCCGTCTCGCGCTGGCCCGGAGGCGCGCGGATGGCACAGGGCTCCGCGGGCTGATCCAGGCTATGCCCGCCACGACGACCCCGACGACACGCTATTCATTCGGCCACGACGGATGATCACCTGGCACCAGGCGTGGAGTCATAAAACCAACACCCGCGAAACCTGACCAGAAGTCGTTCGTCAACAGGCTAGAGCGGGACTGCGGCGCGTTCTTCGCCCAAGGATGGAACGCCCTCTGCGACGCCAGGGACAACAGGGCACCTGGGAGAGGGACCTACAACACCGGGGGGCACGAAGCCTTCTGCGAGGAACTCGTGAACGACTTGTACCACGAATTCCTCGACATCCGCAGGGTCTGCAGAAAGTAGGGAGTCCAGATGGACTGGGGGGCTGTCTGGGAACGCCAGCTGCAGCTCAGCGAACTCCAGCGAGACAAAGGCCGGGGCAAAGGCAAGGGCCACGACCCGGTTGGGAAAGGCAAGAGACACGCCGACTCCACTTGGCCCAACAACGAGCAGTCGAGGCCACGCCGTCCCGACCCGTCAGGCCTGCACGGCCATCAAAGGCCTCGGCACCGCGGCCGCCTCAGGCAACAGCCAACACAGCTCGCCCACCACTAGTCTCCCCAAACTGTTCCCCCAGAACAGCAGGTTCACCAGCCGGGAATCC